TAAGACCACATACATGTTTTGCCTTAGATGATAGCTTGAGAAACTAGGTCACAAATCACCAGAAATTTCAATCTCTCTGTGCTGTTTTCGTTGCAGTAGACATGCATGACATTGCATTTCACTTCCCTTCCCTTGAACACCTGATTCCACCTATCTGCAGACTGTTAACCAACTGCTGTTCATGGAGGAACTAGCCAAAATGGCGTTCATCCAACATAGAAGTCTATAAAGTTGACCCTGCACCACAGCTAATATCTAAGACCAGTACTGCTGCATCTAAACAAAATCTATCTGGGGAACAGCTGTAACATCTTTCATCTAGGAGTAAAAACCATTAATATGTTTAGAGAATTTTTATTTTCTTTAACCAAGAGTGTTAACAGTGCATTTCCTATCATTGGCTGACATTTTAACTTCAGATGGCCATCAGCTGGGAGGTGCATCCTAAGGCAGCGAGCTGCTGGCATGGGAGCAGCAGTTTCTAGGTGAAATTCAGTGGGCTGTGTAGTACAGGAGCTACGGCTGGCTGAGCATGATAGTCCCCTCTGCTCTTCAAACTATACAAGGAGTAGTCTGCATGGAAATTAATTATTTCCAAATTCAGTCAACTGCTCAGTGTTGTCACAAGATGTCAGCAGAGACCACTGTTCTGAAATACAGAAAGTCTTCAGTCAGAGCATTCAAGCTCTGTGGAGCTTGCATTTGCTGAGCTGCAAAGCTGCAGCCACTGGGCAGACCGGGAGTGCTGAGGCAAAGGGGACACTGAGCATGGCTGTTCTAATTCTAGGGAGGGTTTGATTCTCCAGCACAAAGCCAGAGTGCTCAGTCTGACCTTTTTGGTCCTGAGCTGGGCCAGTATAGGCTGTTAATATGGAAATGACAGATAGGACTAAAAAATCTTGGCAAACTGCAAACTGGTTCACTCTAAGAAGTTTACAAACTGAATCAAAGAAAAGGAAATTAGATTTCTGAGGTAGGCTCCTATGTCTTCAATGAGTTCAGTTTTAATAAGTTGAGATCATTGGTTTTCATTTGCAGAACAGTGCAAAAGAAGGTCATTTGGAGGCCAAGATTACTTGAGACCCCAAGATGCCAATCAAGCTTTGGACAGTCTATGTCTTCAGGATTTCATGGTCCAGTTTTCCTTAACAACTTCAGTCAACCCTGACAGAAAGTAGGAATAAATGTACTTCGCAGCCACCAGAAAGCAATCTGAGTCCAGGGTCTAAGGAAGTGGGCAGACACTGCGAGCCTTGCTGTGGTCACCTCAGGGAGGGCTTCTGGGCAGACTGGCTTTGCTGACCAGGAGGGCATGGACAGAGCTTGTCCTGCTAGGTCTCCGGCCTGCCATGGCTCATGATTTAGAAAAAGATGATGAATTATTTGTGTAATGTAACTGTATGGGAACTGTTGAGTCACGGCCTGAACCACTGATGGAGCACCTGGGGAAAGGAGCCAGTCAGCTGTGGGAGCACAGGTGAAGGCAATTCAGCTGTGTGACTGGAAGGAGTGGAGCCTGGCTGTACCTCTCTTAGACCTCATTTAAGGGCTGACTGGGCCCTCCTATAATTTTCTGATATAGGTGAGCAATCTTCTTCCTTTTCTTTATAGCACCTTTCTGTCATGCCAGTCCTTCTGTCATCACACCTTTGTTGTAATGCCTTTCCCATCATGTTGATCTCTCCAGTTGCTACAATAGCAAAGTCAGTTGGAACTGTAGGCTTTGGATCAGTGATCAACAGATGGAGCTATGTGAACTGAAGCTGTGTCTCAGCTGATATTCTCCCTTTGGAAGTCATGGAAGCAGGCACAGAGACATCCAAGATGCTCTGCAGCATCCAGCTCAGTAGCAGACCCAGGCTGTGGTTGCATGTCTGTATTAGTTTCACCAGCATCTTCTCTGAAGCTCTTGACTATGTGACATTTTCCTACCTCCAAGAATTTCTGTCACTTCCCCTCTTCTTCTCTACCATCCCTTGAGCTAGCCTTCAAATCAGAAGCCAGTATTGGCCAGTAGCTGTGTACACTCTACTGCTTCAAACTACTGCTCTGCTTTGCTCAGTGTGTTTATTTTTCTTCACTTTAAATATGTCCAAATACCTGTGAGTTTGCAGTACTGGAAGCAGTCAGTCTCCTCATCTCAGTACTGAATTCTGGGAAAATAAGTGAAGAACTGTGTGCCAAACATCAGTTTCATTCTAAGTAGAAGCTTGATGAGATCACTTGTGTTGAATTACATACAGTCCTTTCCAAAATGTTTTATCTTTTGAGCATAATCAAATTTGTTTAAGGCTTATTTGACTATTCAAAACAATACTTTTATTTCTATTCATATGGAATTTCGGAGAAATTCAGGGACTGAAGAAAAATTCAGGAGCAGAAAATACTCTTTATTGCCATTATGCTAGATATTGCAGGAAGGCAGAATGTGAAATCTAGGAATGTCATGGAAATGAGAATTGCTTTAATTCAATAACATATACATTGGCTTTCTAGTTAGGTTGAATTGTATATTGTAGCTGCATAAGTATCTTATAAATATCTACCACATGCAACACAGGTACGTCAAAAGCATCTTGTAAACTGTCAAATAGATCTGCAGAAGGAGTTAAAAATTATTTCTTAGTTCTTCCATGTCTTTTCAAATATTTCCTAGCTCAGAGATGTCATTTTATTTAGTTTTACACAATTCAAAAGCACTGTAAAACAACCTTTGTGATAAACATTCACCAATAACTGGGATGATAGGTTACTATTACAGCTTACAGTAATGTCTGACTGACGTTACACGGTCATATTACATTAAATAACTTCACCAGCACCAAAACATTGAAGAATTACATCTTACATAATTCATTTAAGCATGTGGAATATTTACTATGAAGGATTTTTCTTTAATCTTCTTATAGAGCTGATTTAGTCAGCTTTAACTTGTAAAATGACTCCATTACACAGTGCCAGCACAAGGCATCATGGAAAATCAGTGTGGGAGAAATGGGGAAGTAGAAGTGGTACTGGCTATTAGCAGAGCTTCTGCTGCGCAGCCTGGTTGGGATTTCTAACCTTGTTTCATTCTGATAATAAGAAAAAATCTGCCAACCAAGGTTTTAGATTGGGAATCAGAAGCTCTGGTTTCATTGGACCTTGGCAGTTTTTCTGCCTCAGTTCTCCATTCAGAGCACTGTAGTAACACTTCCCTTTGTATTCAAAGACCGCAAGCTGGAAGCTCTCTGCCATCGTTTTCCGTAAGAAACTTGGTACTGTGGAACTAGGATCAGAGCACAGATGCTCAATTTTTAGCAAAAGGCAGTGATAACATTGTGCCAGTGTTGAACAGAAGTAAGTGATGCCCTTTCTCTCCTGAAGGAAGCACAAGGAACTTGCTCACTGAAAGTGTGCCCAGCTGGTGCAGTTCCTGAGTCACAGTCTTGAACCGTAAGATGCAGAAGTTGACCATGATCTGGATCTGTAGTGGAGCTGAGAGTACATTCAGCTCTTTACCCCGGGCCACAGCAGTCAGGAAAAACTTCTTCACTAACTGCAGTGGGCACTGGAGTAAATTTTCTCTTCAATGTTATTACCAACATTTGAATGAAAAAAAATAATAAAGAAAATCTAGATTGCTTAGTTCTTAAGATGAAGTTCAAGCATCCCGTGTGCTTGGTTTTACTCAGCAGCTTCCAGCACAAATTAAACACATTCTAGCACAAACGTGTTATTGCTTTTATGAAATTAAAGCGTCAGGTTTGCTAAGTATCAACTGGGAAATGTATCAGTTGCATCTTCTGCATTACAGAATTGAAAAAGCTGATAAAAAGCTGGAAGAGATGGGCAGCATCTATGTGATGGGAGCATCAGACAGATGTGGGCTGGCTGCAGTCTTTTCTTAAAACATCCAGAGAAGCAGCTATAGCTTTCTCTTGAAATACAACACTCACCATTTCACTGCCCTTAAGAGCTTCACAGCCATAGTCAATGCTGTCTGGAGGATAACTAGTGTTAAGTCATTCACAGTTTCTAGGCCTTCATTTTTTGTATTATTTTTTACAGCACCAAAGCTCAGTTTTAGAAAATGATTCATTTCTTTGTTTTCAGCCTTTAAGTAATGATTTTTGAATAAATAACGTGAAGCTGTGTTTTACCTGCTTTGGCAGGGGGGTTGGACTCGATGATCTCTGGAGGTCCCTTCCAACCCCTACAATTCTGTGATTGTGATTCCTTAGCCAACACACGTAGCTGGCATAGAGTAGGCTTCTGGAGTTCTCCAGTCTCTCAAACTGTCACATTTTTGTGTGTTGTCACAAAGAAATAGTGTGATAGTGGTAGAAGAGAGAGAATAGCCTCTTCAGGGAGACAGAACAGAAAGATCCTATGAATGTGGAAGGTGCACATGGATTGGATGTCCTAGCCATGCTGTAGTGCTGGAGATGATCTGAATTTCTCCAAATACTGTGAAGTTCTTATTCTGGACCTTTACATTTGATTTTATTTTGAACAACAAAGCCACATTAAATGTACAGTATTAATTGAATACATGTAGCCTCCATGCTCATTACCTGGCTTCAGGTATATAAGCATCATATGTCACATGTGATAGAGGCTACCTAGCATACATATCAGGAGTATCTGAAGAGAAACCAAAAGCAGAGTGGACCATGCAGACTGTTCTGCAGGGTAATCAGGGATAGCAGAAAGAAGAGAAAGCAAAAAATTTCTAAATAACGTGTATTGATGCTGCACGAGCTGCCTGCTGAAATTGTTTTAGAAACACTGATAGTGCAGCATGATTTCTTCTAAAGTCACAAAGGTTTTCTTGCTGACAACACTAGAAATGTTACTGATTTATTGAAATCTTTGTATTTTGTAGACAATAATGAGGAGTTTATGGCAGCTGGCAAGTTACTCAGTCACAGTCTTGCCATTTTTATTCTCCCTAGTGACCAGACCAAACCAAGGAATCCACATTTCAGAGTTTTCTGTTGTTGCAATGATACCTGCTGTTCATAACTCCTGCTCACGCTGCCGTTTCAGGCCGACGACTCTTGCTGCCAGGAGAAACACAGCCCCAGTGATCACTTCTGCGACAAAAGAGATCCAGACCAGTGCCAGAGACCAGCCAAACCTGATGTCGATTTCTACCAGGACTTCCTTACTCCTCAGGAGGCAGACAGCTTCTTCAAAGGCAGCAGCTGAATATGCAATGTAGACGCCAATCCCAGTAAGTGTAACCAGAGCTGGGTAAGAAAAACACGTTCAGTCAGTTACAATTTGCTACAGAAAGTAAAAGTCCTCACATAACTCTCTGGGCATCCTTGCCGTTCCTTCTTATCGACTCAGGGTAGATTACTATTAAGGCTTCCCCTGCCTCTCAAATCAAGTCAAAATTGTCTTGGGGGAAGGGCGAAAGGAAAATGAACTGTCAGGTCCTGACAGAAAAGACACAAAATGAACAGCTGTGTTATTCTGAAAGCAAAGTCTTGCTCAACGTTTTTCTCCAAAAGGTAAAGTGATGTTTTCCAGATATAATCTCTTATTATTTACATCCATTAAGCCAGGAGTTTGATATAGTACCTCCAAAAAGAAAAAGCAGACCAGTCATTAGAAGCAGTAGATATGCCCTGGCAAGAATACTGATAAATCCAGTCATTCCTCCAAAAATCATCAGTATCAGGCTCAGAGGCATCAGAATGACAAACGTCCCATGCATGTCTGAAGAAAAAAATGGAGAGTGTTAGTATTTTAATATTTTACTATCGTGTCACTTGATGCATTAACAATTACTGAGTGCAGATCCCATAATCAGAGCCTTATTCTGAGCATTAAGAACAAGAAGCTGAACTATCTCTGTGGCTTTCAGTTTAAATAGGCAGGACACAGAATGGAGGAGAAGGTATCACCAGGTGGGTCCTCCATGGCCTCTGATTCAGAGACTGTAGTGATAAAGGGTATGTCAACACAGATGTGTTTAAGCAATAAAACTCCTCAGATATCAAGCCCAGCTGGAAAGCAGGTAGTGTGCTGGGTATCTGGTAGTCACTTGCAACCTTAAGTAGTAGTTCTGGCTATCTGAATCATATGTATGATAGTAAGAGGTGTTGTTCAGTTTGGGTGATGGAGTCTACCAGGCACTCTGGTTAAATGCTTTCTGTCTGTCCTATGCCCTCTGCCAAACTGATCTACCAAATTGTTGACCTTTTCCTTTGTAGCTGAACAACTACAGGTACATTTTCCCATCCAGCTCTAATTCTATGTCTGTCGTTGTTTTCTACAGCAGCTTCACTAAGTACATTATCCTACACTGGTTGCTTCCTCTCGTATTACATTTTTTACATTAGTTCTTATTGATCCCTGTAATATCTTAATAGCTGTGTAAACAGAGGGTTGTTGTGTATTTTTTCGTATCATGCTGTTTTCTCCTCAATAAACCATCTTTGTCTCTCCTCTGTCTCACTTAGCCTATCCACATATTCAACCCAACCTTTTCTAGAATAATAACAAAAACACAAATGCATCAGCTTCTGGTATCTTCTTATTTCTTACTAGGGGTTGAGCAGAGTAAAGAGCAGAGTTACTCAGAATGGAGAACTCACGTTGTGTTTTCTGAATGGCTTTGGGCTTCAGTGCCCCACTTGATTTCCCAGAGGAGCAGTGGAACATCAGCTAGTTCCTAAGGAAGATCAGTCAGTTAAGGGATTAGAGTTTGTGTATGGGCCAATCATCAGTTTGTTTCTTTATCAGTAACTGTAACTCCCTGCTCAAGTGGATATATACCACTGATATATAGGCTGGTTAAGGATCCAGCTTATCTTCGATATAAGTAGAAAGATAAGATGTACTCATGGGTCAGCATATTGCTTCTGTGCTTTGTTCTTTCAATAAGTTAGTTCAGTCTGTGTCTTTGCAGCTCTGACTTGTGAATGATACTTGAATACTGCAACACCAATTTTAGTTAGTTGGGTAAGGATTCATTGTTTCTGAAGATATTAGTTCCTTGCTACTTTCTTTACAAAGAAGAAAATTCTGCAAATCAATCTTTGGTTCTTCTCTTTCTTGGAAAAAACAATCAATTTAACTTATTCCTCTTTCTCCTCACCTGTATTACTGTAAAGTCACTGAAGCAAGTTGAAGAATGGTGTAAATTAAAAGGGAATCTGTTCTTAGGTTAGTAAAAACAAACATATCTTGGTTCAGCTCTAGAACAGAGCTGCCATTTCAGTGACCTTGAAAGCCTCACAGTGCCTTGTAATGTGTCAAGGACATAGTAAGTAGTTCAGCTCTGAATGATTGAAGAACCTTCTCAGATATTCCCAATGAGCCAGCAAAGTACTGTGAGGGAAAGTATGATCAAACCTAGCAGATATTTTTTTAATGTAAGGAGATCCAATAGTTTTGACTGTTACTTGTTGTCGTTTAGATTTTGCTTTGACCTGAGAAATGGAGAAAAGGAAGTGAAAAGTCCTCTAGTGGATAAAATTTGATGTAATTATCAAGAAAAGAGTAAGAATTGTGCGACTCAGTCCTCAGAGCCAGCATTGCAGGATGTTGAGCCGCATAAGCAAGCTTGCCACTGTGCTCTGTCATTTCCCACCTGTCCCTCACCAATCATGGCTGCTGCTATCAAACCTGAGGACAGTAGCACTAATGGTGTTCCTTTGACTTCCTGTCTGTGCTGTGATTTCAACTGCAGCAGTTAGGACTGTAACCTCAGCTAGGACAAGTGCAGTGAAGATAAGGCTATTCAGAGCACTTTCTTTTGAGCCAAAAGGAGAACGAATCCATACCGTGGTATTATCATAAAGTACATTAATGATCTGTGACAACTGCATGCAGTGGCAGAATAACTCTGATTTTTTTATTTTTTTTTTTTTTGCCCTCTGCTGCAAAAGTAAGTTTTAGGGATATCTCAGTTGAAACCCACAAACCCCCCGGATCACCCACAGCTGTTTAAAAAATCAAATGTTTAACGGGCTGCATCTGGTTAAACAGCACTTGCATCACTTCCAGTATTCCAGTTCAGTACCTAATACTCATTTGTGCTTCTTCTATGCTGTCTGTAACTGCCGGTGAAACTTATTCGAAAATGCTGCCATGGAAACCACTCAGGAATTTGAATTCATGTCATCTGGCGTATGGTATTATACTATTATATTCCTTGATTAGAGGGAGGGAATTAGTTTATAGGAGGACATGACTTAAAACATCTTTACTGTATTTCTGCCTCTAGTAATCATCTGCGGATAAAAGTTCAAACATAAATTTTGAGGTGAAACATTTTCTTGTTTTTTTTTAGGTTATGTTGAAATACACAGGTTGTGTATTGTGTAAAGCTTCATTTTGATAAAATTACTGGGAGCGGAGGGGGAAATAAACAATTTGCAAAAGAAAAAGGCCTGTGCACTTTCTGTAGAGCATCATTCGTCTTCCCACTTCTGTTTCTCACGAGCACTTGAGTTCCCTGTTGGTAGAGCTGAAAAGATCCAATACTGTAAAACTGGCAAACATTTAAAAACCACTCCACTTCTATGGACTGAAAATACTTAAATTGCTCAATGCTTCTTCATATAGTTTTAAGCTTATTAGCCCAAGCTGTGACCAAATGTCTGCAAGAGTGACATCTGCAGGGTGTATCCAGATCTGTGAGTTTGGCAGGCACTTCTAAATTATGATTCAGCACAGCTGTTGATGAGCAGTGCATAACAGATATCTCTGGAATGAACTATAAAAACTGGCTGATATCAAAGCTGACCAGCTGCAGGTCTAGCAGCATTATTACCATCTCCTGTTAATATGCTGGAGCTCCACTGCTTCAAACTAACTTTGGATTTGTTTGCACAGCTTGTGATAGCAAGCAATAGTCATTTCATCAGAAATATTCCAAATGACAGCAGCTCAGAAGACCTTAATTAAAAACCTGTTCATCTTACTCAGCAGTAACTAAATAGCCAGCAAGAAAGCACTGCATGTAAAGCTACAGTTCAACAGAATGCTGGCAGCAGCGCAGCCAGCAGGGCTGCTCTGGAGAGGTTTGGCAGGGCTCAGGTGGATCAGCACACTTAGAAAGCCTGACAACTGCTCTCTGTGGCTGAACGTGAGTCTTCTGGGCTAGAACATGGGGCACCAAGTCCCATTCAGTAGTGAACAGGTGATGAAGGAGAAGAGCTTGCAAGGTGAGGGTGTCCCAGGAGGATGAGCTGAGCTCTGGATGTTGGGTGTCAGCTTTGTGTTGCTCCCTGGTGACAAGTCTGAGCTAAAGTGAGAAATAAATTGCAGATTGTAGAAATACAGTGATACTGGAGTTGGTACGGATGAGAGCTGATGGAGCCCTTCAGTGCTAGGAAGAGACAGAATGCTAAACACAAGCATAGCAGGGTTCGTGTTCTATTGCTATGATTGTAATGGCATTTGAAAATAAGAACGTTCATCAGAAGCTGTCACTTATTCAGTCTCAGCTGAAGTGATGCTCAGTTGTTTCAGATTTTCAGATTTATATATATCATAATTTACCATAATATCAACTGCAAGCACTAAAAAAAAAGTTCACTGAAACCCCTCTGATCTTAATACCGTTGCTCAGAAACAAAACATCTATTTAGGTATACATCTACCACAGCACTGAAGATAGAATTTGTGTGTATATCCTTATTACACATGACCTTTGCAAATTGGCTCTTGCCAGCTGCTCCAGCCCTACCTGGTTCCTTCTGGCAACTTGAAGCCAAAAGAAAAAATTGTCAAGAGCTGTAAACTCCCCAGGTGTGTGCAAAGGTATATGGAAACTGCTGAGTCCCGGCCTGAACCACTGACTGAGCACCTGGGAAAGGATCCGGTCAGCCCCGGGAGCACAGGTGAAGGCAATTCAGCTGTGTGACCAGAAGGGGTGGAGCCTGGCTGCACCTCTCTGAGACCTCATTTAAGGGCTGACTGCCACTGGAGAAGGGTCTCTGGTTGGAGATCCCTCCTTGGTGAAGCTTTCACCTGCAAACCTGGAATCTTTTGATATAGGTGAGCAATCTTCTTCTCTTCCTTTATAGCATCTTTCTGTCATGCTGGTCCTTCTGTCATCACGCCTGCGTTGTAGCATCTTTCTCATCATATTTGATCTGTCCAGTTGCTACAGATGGCAAGTAAAGAATCAGGCATCCTGTATAGATAGTGAAGATGAGTTAGGACTTATGAACAAGGCGAAGAGTGGACGCAGCTGGTTGACCACTGGAGGTCCATGCACTGTGAGGAA